AGAATGTAGTTCTATGGTATTTTGTTGAATTCTGCAAATAAGTAATTCGCGAGGTTCGCTTAAAAGGACTACTACTACTACTAGAAATATTCGGTTTATAAATAGTACAAAATTAGGGAAGAATTCTACATGATGAACATAATTATCTAAAACCGAATGTGGTTAACTTGCCCGGCCAGCACTTTCTTGGACTTAGATTAAAGTGATGAATCCCCCAAAGTTCGGTACCCTTAGGTTCTTTGTAGATATGTATAAAAACAGATTTTCGAAGAATATCTTAATAAATTAATGTTGGATTACATTTCATTTCGTTTGAGGCGAGTGGACGTGATTCGTAAGTTAGCCACCTCAAACGAAACGGAAGTTACTCCAACATGAGTTTATTAAGGGATGCTTAGGGAACGAAGAACATACGGGTACTAAGCTTTTCGAGGTCCGGCATTTTATACTAAGACCAAGAAAGCGCTAGCCCGGCAAGGTAACCATATTCGGTTTTCGAAATTATGTACATCACATAGAATTGTTCCCAAATTTCGTATTATTGATAAACCGAATACTCCTAGTGGAACAAAGCAAGTTTTTCTGAGACCCGTTAGCTTGAATTTGGTTGTGATGATGATACCTTGCTCTGATGATGTTCGTCGTATGACGGAAGAAAGCTTAGCACCTTTTAATCGGAATCGAAGAAGATTTCTTCGGAAACAGCGTCAGCATGAATCTTCCAGTAAAGCCAATCGACAGCTGGTAAAGAAGAATCCGCCGTCGTTATCTGACGGAATCGACATTCGAATCTCTTCATCCAACACTTCCACTCGAAATGGAAGTAAGCTTAACAATTATGAAACAATAGATTCCTGGAAACCCAACTTTTCTTCGTATAGTCTTTTCTTGTCTTGGTTCTAATAACTGTCAATTCTCTGTACGTTTAGCCTACTCCTTCTTTCCCACATGAAGACTAAAAAGTTCATCAACATTATCAGACTTTATGCAATCGGAGTGATGGTTAAAATATATACCGAGGGGGTGATGGTGGTCTTCAGACTTTGATAGCTGAGAGCAGACGTGACTTTTGCTGATTTCGTACATATGCGAATACATACAGGCACATACGCATAGATAGACAAACACACTCACATGCTCCGATGTTGACATATGACCGGAACTAACCAAATCAATTTATGTCCCATCAAAGAGCTCAGATATAGAGTGTTTTAGGGATGAGCCAATGAGTTTTATTTACTCGTTAGTTTTAATATGTTTGTAAGGATGATACCCTGCTCCGATGATGTTTGACATACGATGGACGGAAGCTTAGCACATTTTCACCGGAATCGTAGGTGATTACCTGGGAAATAGCGTCAACAAGAATGCTCCGGTAAAGCCAATCGACAGCTGGTCAAGAGGAATTCGCTATCATCTTCTGGTGGAATCGACCTTCAAATCTCTTCAGAAAAGACTTTCACTTAAAATGGATATATGCTCAAAAGACTTGGCTAAGTTTGCTAGCAATAATGGAATAGGAAATAAGCATTGTTCATTCTAGATTGCACTGTTAAGAGAATAAGAATACAAATTATTTATATGCATTTTCGCTGTTTTATGTTCCAGGTGCCTCTGCTGAATTTAAATTGCTAGATTGGCTACAGCATCTTTTGCACAAGGTTCGATGCATAAGTTGCCCCAGTAATCCACTGACCAGAGATGTCGCTCCATTGGCCGTTAACTCGTCTTCGTCAGGACAAACAGGGGTAAAAAACACCGAGAAGGCACAAGAAAGTGAGGTAAAACTAGATATCTTGCCTGAGAAAGGGCAAGTATCTCTGGAAGATATTCG